CTTTCTTTGGGCCTTAGTTTCCTTAACTGAAAAAATGAAGTTAGTGATTTTAAAATTTGTGGGAGTCATGGACTCTTAAGAAGCTTATGAAAACTATGGAACTTTTTCAAACTAAAATATAGCCACAGAATCAATGCCCGTCTCTCCCCCCCCCCCGTGTGTGTGTGTGACCCCCCCACACACACAATTTCAGAGATTCTCTAGGCTGAAGAACCTGTGCTTTAAGATTTCATTAAAAATTGTGGCAATAGCCCTAATATCCAACATTTCCTTATCCTTTTTACCATTCTCCTCTTCTGCCATTACTGAAAATACCAGCATTAGCCTGCATCCAACACTCTGAGCACCCTGTTTGCCACCCACAGTGACCCTCAGCAAGGAAACATCAAGGAAAATTAAGACAAGATAAGAGAGATCATCTCAGACTCAAAATAATTTCCACTGAGCTCATTCTGATTATACTATATTGGACAAGATTTGTAAGGCTCTGGGCTTCAGTTTCCTCACCTGTAAAATGAGGAAGTTGACAGAACAGTGGTTTGTAACCACTTGGGTAATCACTATTTGAAAACCTTCTCTTGCTGTATCCTTCCTGATTGCACTTCCTGATAGCAGACAGTCTGATGTAGCAATGCTCATTAGTCCAGTGGTTCATAACATGTTTAGGTCCCAGTTCCTTTCAATAATCACATTAAAATGTAGACCTTCTCCCCAAAAAGTACACCTATGAGTGCACACAGAAATTTCATAAATATTTTCAGAGATTCCAGAACCTTCTAAAGTCCATGCATAGCTCATCAGTAAAAACGCATGCACAGGAAGATGTCTAAGAATCCTTTTACTTGCAAAACTCTGTGAGTTTCTTCTGTGGTCAGGATATTTGGCCCAAGGCAAAATTGTGTGGGGAACACTTCTCCACACCCTTCCCATTATTCAGAATTATTTTCCTGTTATTTGTCCTGAAACTCCCAGGGTCTCTACTGAGAGTAGATTTACCTGATAAACTTACACTAAGCAAGGAATTTGAGGCTATACATGTTGCCCTTCTCAACAGCATTTTGCTTTTGCCAAAAAAAAAAACCACAGAAGGGACAGAACAAAAAAGAACTTACCTGAACTATTGACTTTTCAGACCTGGTGTGTCAGGTATATGAGTAGGTTTTTGAGGGGTATAACAGTTGCATAGAGTATTGTATTGAAAGGAATAAATGACCCTCTAGTCTGTCTTTGGAAAAAGGTATTTATTTCTCTGCAGGGCTTTGTTCACATGTGTATATCTGAATACAGTGTGTATAAGGTGACCTTTGTGGGCTCCAGCTGAATCCCCTATTAACAAGGGTCCAATACAGCAGATACCCTCATTACCTGTTTATTGCTAATTATAAGGACTTAAAATCAATAACAATAAAACCACCTCAGCCTTGTATTCTAATCTGAGCATATAGATCCAAATAGTACCCCTTTTCTCTATTCCCTTGAGTGCTATTTTTTTAATTGGGAAATCCAGTACTTATTTACACTTAACCTGTGATTTTTATTTATTTTTGTTTATTTACTTTTTTTTAGATTTTTATTGGGGAATTGGGGCAATGAGAACAGCACTGGGGAATTGGGGGAAGGGGAACAGACAAGTTGCTGTCGTTTTGTTCTTCAGTCTAGTTGTGGAGGACATTGCTTCACTGGCCCAAGTTGGCACCATCATTGCGCTCTTCCCGGGCGAGGCAGATCAGTTGCCGGCTTCTGGACGGCTGCTCACTGCGGCTGCTGGCCGCTCACGCTGGCTGCTGGCTACACACGGCAGCCCATGGCAGCCCATCTACCGTTGCCAGCGACTCATCGCAGCCCAGCCCCAGTTTGAGCTGTTGTTCAGCATCTTAGCTGTAGAGGGCAGTGTCACTGGCCCTCATATGTGGGATCCGAATCAGGGCCCTCAGGCGTCCCATGCCAGCCCTTAACCAATGCGCCACTCGGCCGGCCCTGGTCTTTATTCTTAATTTGAATGGGCTTGACCATCTTCTTTTTAAGTAGATCTAATTGAGACAAAATGTCCACCCTTTTATGTATAAAGAGCCATACAACTTAGCTTTTGAGTCTGATATATGACTTTTCCTCTGTAACTAACTAGACAAAGTCTTGCCACAGATGATATAACAACAAATAAATCACCTATTTCATAGATGCCATAAGGCTTTGGCCAGATGGAAAGGACATTGGTGAAGATACTGTCTTAAAAGTCAAGAAACTTGGGTGTAGATCCCAGCTTTATCATTAACTCACTATAAGACAACAGCCTGAATCCTTCTCTCTTACCTTCTTCATCTTTAAAATGACAGCTTAGACTAAATCATCACTCATATCCCCTTCAGCTCTGATATACTATTATTATTTGGCCAATTTGGAGTGGAATTTAACAATGTTCCTATAGGGGTATCCTTTTGATTCTAATCAGGTTAAAGTTCTCTGACTTAAAACAGAAAGATAAATGCTGTCTAACTCAGGAAATTTCACCACTAGGTGTTTTATTTCCAAATACATGAAGGTTGTTTCCTATGAGTTCTATTCGAGGCAGCAGGCTAAAGAAAATCGAGACTTATACACCTGCACCCAAAGCTTATTTGGTGAAAGCAGACAGAAGAAAAATGAAAATACTAAATGGTGAGCTTATACAAAGCAGCAAATTAGTTGGGCTTTTAGAAATCTGAATAATATCTTTCTGTTCTTTACTTATTGAAATCCTGCTATTTTTAATAGGCCCAGCCCAAACTCTCCTCCTGGAAGACTTGCCTGACTTTCATCCTGAAATTCAACTCCTTATCACCGTCCTCCAGGATCCCTGACTTCCTCTGTGAAATCTTACATCACTAGATATGACACTCTTAGGCCCTTATCACATACATGTTGCCTTATATTTGTGGCAATTGCATAATGTCATATCTGCTTATCTAGATTCTAAAACACTGCTGGGAGGCGGCCTCTTTCTTTTACCATCAACACCCTCCCACTTGTTTCCTGCGTTCTCTCCTCCCCCGCTGTATTTGAATCACTGGTCTGCTTTTAGCAGTTATTCAATAGATGTTTGCTGAATGGAGTTAAGACTGTGTGAGGGGAGAGAACATCACAATAAAACTCTAGACACACCAAAAGCAAGTAGGAAACTATTTTTAAATAAACAAAGACCCACCCCCATATTCTGCCAGACGCTGGAGTACAGAATAAAAAGATAAAGCAGAGGCAATATGTTTTAGTCTGCTGTCAACGTATCTGACCTAATGCAAATTTAGATTAATTTACTTTTTTTTCTATTTTATTTTCCCCCACATGCTCAGAACTATTCTCACCATAGCTTGCCTAGTACAAAATCATTAAAGATTGCTTTGGCAGTTCAGTTTTACCATCCTGGAATCTCTTCAGTTTTCTTTTATATCTTATCTTTCAAATTGTAGCAAATTGATTCATACCAAGGTTTTTAAGTAAGTATATTTTTAGGAGCATCAAGATTTGAAAATCAAGACTTTAGGAAGAAGGGAATGCTTACCTTCAAATGACTGATGTTTCAGGTATTAGTGAAGGAAATATTTTGAGGCAGAGAGCCTTACAGGTACTCTCTATAATATACCACACAGATATGTCCTGCACTATCATACTTCTTTCTCCCATGGCCTATGTGAAAAATTCTCTTGCTCTAATCTAGAGATCTTGAGGGTTACCTTTGGCTGCCTTCTGTTCATCTTCTGGTGGTGCTGGTGGTGGGAGTAGTGGTGGGGCATTAGGTGCCTAATACAGTATGACACCAGGCTCTCAGGCTCCGAGGTTCCTTGAAGCATTATCTTCAAGGGGATATGACTATGGGTCTGGGCTACAGGAAACCAGCCTCTTTTCACCCAATCCTCCCTAATCACTCAGAGGAAATGGGAGCTTACCTGCACTCCCTGGGTAGACAGGAAATGGGAGGTGAGTTAAGCATGGACAAATCCCTCTTAAAAAGTAGAGTATTTATTTCAATGGCAGAAGTTTGGAGGTTTGTATATCCAAGAATATCCTAGGCAGAGGTCAACTCCAGCTTGACTTCTTGTACTGGTAGTTACCTAAGGGACATCTTTAGAAAGGGAGTGTCCACTTTGGTACCTGAACACAGCAACTGTGGGGCTATAGAAAGGATCAGTGAAGATTTCAGTGGTCCACTAACTATGGAAGGGGCCAGAAGGCACCTAGCTTAAGCAAAGGGTTCCATAAACAAATAGGCTGTGTATTATCACAAACTCAAAGCTGAGCACAACAACCACAGGATTGGAAGACAATGCACTGTAGCCCTATAAATAGAAACCAGAGTTTCTTTGCTAAGTGTAAAGCTTTGCAGGCTCTACATACAGCCCATAGCATGGCATTGCACCCTGCATGTTAATGAGAAAGAGAGAGAGAGAGAGAGAGAGAGAGAGAGAGAGAGAGAGCTGCCCCCTGGAAAACGGAAATGTTCAGTGTGCACAGAGTGCCTTGCATATTTCACTCTGACATTTCATTACCATGTTTTCCAACATGGTAGTGGTTAGGTAATGCTGATAATTTTATGTCTTTTTTTTTCCTTTTGCTTTCTTCATTTTCTTTAGGCTTTCTTTTTTGGTTTCGTTTTGTTTTATTCCTTTTTTTGCTCCCTCTTTCCCTTCGTTCTTTTATTTGTTTCCCTTTCTTTCTCTCTCCTTTCCCTTTTCCTTTCTTTCTTTCTTTCTTTCTTTCTTTCTTTCTTTCTTTCTTTCTTTCTTTCTTTCTTTCTTTCTTTCTTTCTTCCTTCCTTCCTTCCTTTCTGGTAATGAAGGGGGATTGGATTGGTTGTTCTC